TTTTGAGAAACGATGTACAAATGCGCTTTACACAATTGATGTGTGTATGGATTGGGATAACAGTTGTATGAGCCCCTAATAAAATGTTTAAAAGGGAAAAAAAATAAAATTAAATTAAAAATTAAAAAAGAAAATGTTGATGGCAATAAATGTACAAATGTGCTTGAGACAATGGATGCATGTATGGATTGTGATAAGAGCCCCCAATAAAATTTTTTTTAAAAAGCTAGGCCAAATGTGGCAAAATCTTGACATGTTCGAGGTGATGCTATTCTTCACCCACCCCACCCCATTCCAAGTTGTCTACAAATTTAGTTAAAAGTTGTTTACAGGACACTGTCAGCTAAGTTAAAATAGCACACTGAACTTTCCACAAAAACTGCTGCTCCCCATTCCACAAAGCCTGTCTCATCTTACAGTAGAGGGGTGAAAAGATTACCCTCCCCAAAACTAAGTGAGCTAAGTCTTTCAAGTTTGGGACTGCCTATCAACTCACGTTGTGCCTCCCTAGCTAACTGAGGACGCTCTAGCATTGTCTTGAGGTCTCATGCCTGGCACCAAAAAATTGACTAATGTGGGAAACACTGAAGATGTGGTAACATAGGTGACCTAAGTATAATTGTAAAAGCACTAAATAGAGGGAACCGATTACAAGGATCTACATGTGACTGCCTCCCTAGGGGACGGACAACAGAAAAGTAGATGAAGGGAGACGTTGGACAGGGCAAGATATGACAAAATAATAATTTGTAAATTATCAAGGGTTCATAAGGGAGGGGGGAGCGAGGGGAAAAATGAGGATCTAATGCCGGGGCTTAAGTGGAGAGGAAATGTTTTGAGAATGATGAGGGCAATGATGTACAAATGGGCTTTACACAATTGATGTATGTATGGATTGTGATAAGAATTGTATTAGGAAAAAAAAACCACTAAATAAAGTGCATAGCCATAAAAGCTGTTACTGCGGAGACGGGAATAACATTAAAAGAGGCCTGGTGGCATAGTGGTTACACATTGAGGCTGTCAACTGCCAGGTCATCAGCAGTTCAAAACCACCAGTCTCTCCTCAGCAGCGAGATGAGGTTTTTTACTTGTTATAAACCGAGTTCTAGTCTCAGAATCTCAGAGGGGTAGTTCTGTTCTGTCCTGTAGGGTCACTATGAGTAGGAATTGACACAAGGCAAGCAGTTGGGTAGCATTTGGTGGCATCATGGGTTACCCACTGGACTCAGCAGCTCGGAATCACCAGCTGCTCCGTGGGAGAAAGAGGAGACATTCTAATTTTGTAATGATTTAATTAAATACTTTTTTTGGGGGGGGCTCTTACATCTCTTATCACAATCCATACATTCATCCAGTGTGTCAAGCACATTTGCCCATATGCTGCCATCATCATTTTCAAAGCATTCTCTTCCCACTTGAGCCCCTGATATCAGTCACCCCCCATTTCCTCCTCCTCCACCCTCCCTCATGAACCTTGATACGTTATAGATGATTATTTTCATACCTTACATCATCCTCCACTGCCCCTCACCCACTTTTCGGTTGTTTGCCCCCCCTGGGGGGGGGTGTTAAAAGTTCATCCTGGTGATCGATTGCCGCCTTTGTAAAGATTGACAGTCTCTGATAGCCACAGGGCAGTTCTACTCTATCCTATAAGGTTGCTATGAGTAGCAATCAACCCGAGAGCAGTGAGTTTGTTTGTTTAGGTATTTCACTTATAATATTTGCTATACATGTCACATTTTCTTCAAGGAGGTTCTATATATTGTATTTTAAAAATAGTGGTCTTTATTAGAAAATATTTGGGGTTTCAAGTGAGACGGTCATTGATAGCAAGTCACATTTCACTTGCATGGGAAACAGTGAAATCCATAATATAACAGTTGGATGGACTTCAGAAATGTGATGTGCTGAAAATGATATCCTTTGCAATATTTAAAGCCCACTAAACTCACTGCCATTGCGTCACCTGACTCATACATAGTGACCCCGTAGGACAGAATCGAACTGCCCCCCTGTGCGTTTCTGCACCTGTAACCCTTTCTGGGAGTAGAAAGCCTCATCTTTCTCCCGTGGAGCAGCTGGTGGTTTTGAATGGCTGATCTTGAGGTTAGCAGCCCAATACGTCAGCACCATACCACCAAGGCTCCTCTGAACACCACCACCACCACCATAAAAAATCCAGCACAGTGGTACTATGGGGGGATTCTCAAAGACCCTTGAGTCCAGGGCCTTGCTCTCCCAGTGCAGCAGGCTACTACTACCTGTGCGTCTGCCACACCTGGGCTTCCTCCCTTCCTTCCTCAAACAACCTGAGGTCTCACTGTCCAGAGAGAGAAACAGAATTGTAATGATCTGTATCTTTGCCCCATGATTTGCAGTGGGCTTTTATTTAAAAATGGTAGGAAGGAATCTGAGCCTGGAGATACAGATCAAGCAATAAGCATCTATGGCAACCAGGATGCATCACTACCTACATGCTAAGGTTGATTTGGTTTTACACTAACATGCACCACTTTCATAAGCAGGCAAAAAAAAATTTCCAGGGATGGGAGAGACAGTGCCCGGTCCTAACGAGGGGCATGCTCTTAACAGAACATATTTAATATTAACAAGAATAGTTCATAGCAATCTGTGAAAAAGCATACCTTTAAATCTAGTTCAAGTTTTAGAAAAAGAAAATTACTTTGCCAGATTCTGTAAAAGCAAAACCAAACTCCCTGCCATTGTATTGATTCTGACTCATAGTGACCCTGTAAAACAAAGTAAAACTGCCCCTTGTGGGTTGCCAAGGATATAAAATCTTTATAGAGAAAAACAAAAAGCCTCATCTTTCTCTCATGGAGAGACTGGCGATTTCAAACTGCTGACCTTGCAGTTAGCAGCCCAACATGTGTGTAACCACTATGCCGCCAAGGCCCCTTTAGATGCCATCAAACTCACTGCCATTGCGTCAATTCATCTCATAATGCCCCTACATGAATGACAGGGTAGAACTGCCCCCTGTGGGCTTCCATGACTAAGAGTAGAGTGCCTCATCTTGCTCC